GGAGGAAAAGATTGAATCTTTGGATCAAGAATGCTTGACTAAGTGTGATTAGGAGTTAAATGCTTGCTCGTCTTGTGCTAGAGTACGGTTTAGCTTCCTAGGGTTTTAGCTGGCATGGCAATGTTCGGTTATTTGCGTGTCATTGATCATGGAGACTCCGGCAAACCAAAATCTCTCTTTCCCCCTTGATTTCTCTCATCTTCTTGCGTGCTTAGTTAATTGCTTTCAATGCTTTTAATTTCGTAGATTAGCTTAGCTTAAATCAACCCTCAATTCAAGCGATTAGCATGTTTAGGACATATTCGGTTCTGTGACTTTGACGACTAGGTAGTGAACGAAGCTCCGAAGAGCCTTCCGTTGAGAACGACCCGAGTCGGGTACCTCGGTTACCACATGCCCAAAAATACTACAAACAATCTCAAACCCTTATCTCTACATTGTACTCTACATCAAATATATTATTTTTATTCATTTTTATTCAAATAAATTGGTATATATGTATATTTAATAAAAATATATTTTATTTTTTTATTTTAAATAATTTTTAACATGTATATTCAATAAAAAATTTAAAATAAAATTATATGATACCATTTTAATATTAAAAATTTTAAATATGTTAAATTTTTTATTCATATGATACCATTTTAATATTAAAAAATTAAGATATAAAATTATAATACATCAATAAATAAAAGCACAAAATTATTTAGCATAAAAACACATTTATTAATACACATTATACAAAAAAATATCGTTAATATACCATAAAAATACAAATAAAATAAAATAAAACCACAATCCTATACCTGACGTTGCACAAGTTTTGAGCGCAGCATTGGAGCAGATACTTGGCACAACTCCAGCGTTCTGCGCTAGAGTATTGCAGCGTTGGAGAGGTTCTAAGACAATTTTCTTTTGATCATAGTAGGTAATTTGATTGTATAGTGATAAAAAAAAAATCGGATCATATATGTTTCAACGTTAGAAATAAAATGATTAACCTATCATAATCATTTTACCTAAATCATTTATGAGTGACAATAAAAGAACTTATCGACGTATAAACTTGTAGGAAATGTTACGGTCTCGTTACGGAACCATTTCGTCGGGGTTCGTAACTATTAGATCAATTATTCCCGACGGTTACATGATGATCTAACGGTTATAAATTCCGACGGAATGATTCTGTAATGAGACCGTATTGTTCCAAGTTTAACACCTAGCTAATTACCAAGACTTAGTAATGATCATTCATTGGTCTATAATATTCAATCATTTTTATTTTTTCAAACTTCCGCCAAACTAAAACTTTCCCCACCACCCTACACATAGATCTCCATGCATTAATGTTCATTTTTTCCTACTTTAATATCCCTCCATTCATTCCCATGCACACCTTTTATTTCCTTTCTTGTTTAAGCAGCCAATCTTGCGAAAATGTGGTTTTAAATTTTGATACCTAAACATTTTAATGAAAATGCATGGGAAGTCTAAACTTATCTTTTCCCGTTTAAGGGAAATGATTTAATATTCAAACTAGATGAATCAAACAGTCACATTCATATCACCATTTATATGGAGTTGGCCTGCCAGTATGGGCTATGATTTAATTCCATAAACCTAGGAAACAAATAGGTCGCCAAAATCTAATCATTAATGTAAGGTGTGTGCAGAAATATAGTCCAAACGTAATAAAATATCTGTTAAAGATTGTTTTTGTGAATATCTATAACATTATATTTCTCTTATTTTGTTGTTTGGTTAATACCATAAACATGGACGTAATGCCCCGAACATTTTTATTATATATGAGCTCGATTTTAGTTTCATAAATAGCAAGTTTTATTTATTCTAGGTTCTATTTTTTTTTCTTTAAGAATTAAATTAATTTATAAATCCTAAGTCTAATCCGTGGGATTCGTTCAAATTTTTTTATCGGAATCGATTCTGATGTGCTTTTGCACACTGGACCGGCTCTCCTTGGACCCAACCGCTTGAGCTCTCCAAATACCTGCAAAGACGCCAGGAAGTGTTCCCGGCGGTATACCTCCGACGCTCAAGTTAGTGGGGGTACCGAAGAGAGTTCAGTTTTTATATTAGGATTTCTTATGCGGTAAAAAACACCATACCTCTGCATTGTAACCTTCCCTACCTATTTATATGTAGATACTTAGTTTCATCTCCACGCCTGCCCCCTTATCCGCTTATGTGATAATTATCAGGCCCATTAAGCATCAGCCCATCTATTCAATCTGCCTGACCCACTCTTCTGGCCGATTTTGGGCCGCACACTAACAAACTATTATATCTGGCCGCCCAACAAACCCGCGTGCATACTCCCGGTTCATAAATCGAGCTGACTTCTGCCGGTCTACCCAAAATGCTCTCTTTGTGCTACATCATCCAGCCCCCCATCAAACGAGCTATTTTCATAAATTGACTGGTTTGATAATTATTATTCTCATATGCATACCCGAGTAATGCGTTTATTATACTGTGTCGGAAAAAATCGCTCAATTGGCCCCAAAATCCGAGCAGAGAAAATCACTCATTGTGCCCCCAAAACTGAGCAGAAAAAATCACTCATTTGTGCTCCCAAAACCTGAGTAGAAAAAATCACTCATTTGTGCTCCTAAATCCCGAGCATAAAAAATCACTCATTTGTGTTCCCAAAATCCGGGCAAAAAAAATCCACGCACTTTGCCCCAAAATCCTGGCAGGAAAAAAGCACTCACTGTGCCCCAAAATCCAGGCAGAAAAATTTCTTATTTCGTCCCAAAATCCGAACAGAAAGAACCACGCACTTTGCCCAACAATCCGAGCAGAATACATCGCACACTTTGGTCCAAAAATTCGAACAGAATACATCACACACTTTAGCCCCAAAATCCGGGCAGAATACATCGCACACTTTGGCCCCAAAATCTGAGCAGAATACATCGCACACTTTGGCCCAAAATCCAGGCAGAATACATCACACACTTTGGCCCCAAAATCTGGGCAGAATACATCGCACACTTTGGCCCCAAAATCTGGGCAGAATACATCGCACACTTTGGCCCCAAAATCCGGGAAGAATACATCGCACACTTTGGCTCCAAAATCTGGGCAGAATACATCACACTACAAGAAATCTGTCAAAAAGTGACGAAATTCATGTGACGAAAAAAAATTTGTCACTGTATGCTGCCTTATGATGACGAATTTACCAAATCGTCATTACATCATTGCATATGGCGACAACTACTACATTCGTCATCTTAGAAATTATTTTTCGTCAGATTATGGTATTTTTCATGACAATGCATCTCAATTCGTCAACTATACATCTAAATTCGTCACATGTATATAAAATGTGACGAAATTAAATGTGACAAACAAAATATTGTCATTGTTGTTGTCATTTAAAATGACGCTTACGACTAATTCGTCATTATATAATTATCTATTGAGATGATACATTTTAATACATCTAAATTCGTCATATTATTACAAATTATGACGAAATTTAGTGCGACAAAATAAATGTCGTTGTTTTTTTATTTATTTAAAATGACGCTTTCAAAAGATTCGTCATTATATAATTTTGTTTTTTGACGATACGTTATAATTCATCTAAATTCGTCACATTAATACATATTTTGACGAAATTCACTGTTACGAATCAAATTAGTTATGTTTTTATTTTATTTAAAATGACGCTTATGTATAACTC